CCGAGTTTGATTCCTGGCACCAAAAAAAAAAAAAAAAAAAGAAAAGTTTCTCAAATATATTTCATTCTTGAAACCGCTAATTGCCCTGTGGGAAGACAGATAAAAATATAACCTTTATAAATATGTCTATAGTTCGTTAAAACATTTCTATTTCAAAATGGAATCAATTCCTCCATTATCAAAGCTGTGAGCCCAAATTTTTATGTTCACATTGACCTTCACATCAATGCTAACCTCAAACAGTAAAAAGCTAGAAAGAAAACTGAAAATCTTAAAACTGCATTCAGTTCACTTGGCCAGCCGCCAGGGCCTCTATTACTTAGAGTAAGATTTAGATTTGATCAAAGCGCTGCAAGGTTTTCCTTTTGCAAATAACCCCTCTCCATTTATATAACACCATGAACTAGTAAAACTGTACCATATGTTATTTAGGAATAAATAGGCATCTTTCTTTGAGGCAGGGTTTCATTGTGCTGCCCAACCTGGCTTCAGATTCCAGGTCCTCCAGCGTCAGCCTCCCTAATAGCTGGGATGCAGGTCCAGGCCACTATGTTCAGCTTGGACATGTATTTTAATAAACATTTTTATTGACACTGCCCTTAGTAGATTTCCTCTAAGCTCGCTCAGCCTACTGCGAGCCCTCAGGACTTTGTGTTTCAATTGTTGTGGTGCTTTGCAACTGTCGGTGTGTGTGGAGCAACAAGCCCTGCTTCTCTGGCTGTTTTTCATGGTTGCAAAGCTCACCCTGTCAACAACTCCTAGCTCAAGCTGGGCTAGAATAGACCAAATGGCAACCAAATGCAATGTGGGATTCTCCGTTTGATTCTGGATTAGCATAGAAAGAGCGATGTGGGGGACTTTCGGGTAACTTGGAGTTTACGTTGATTTGATTAGCTGAGTTCACGCAGGGCCTGCCGTGTGACCTCATAACCCTGCTACCAGTTATTATTGTTTCCAGGAGGCCGCTGAGGTTAGATGAGGTCAGAAGAGTGAGGCCCACATCTGATCGGATTGATGGCTCTCTAAGAAGAGGAAACAAGAGCTAGCTCCAGGCGCATACACGGAGAGGCCCTGTGGGAACACACTGAGCAAGTGACCTTCCACAAGCCAGAGACCCAGGGCTCAGCCAGGCCCCGGCAACACCCGCAGCCTCCTCTGAGACTTCCAGCTGCCAGGGCTGAGAGGGTGGATTTCTGCTCTTTAAGCACCCGACCCATGGCGTTTTGTTACGGCAGCTCAGACAGCCGAGACACTCAGTCACCAGGTCAGGGAGTACTGGGACCCTTTCTTTGGGCAGATCTTCTAAATCTTGTCCTAAGCATCTTGCTAAAATTCTGTGCTCCTGCATGGAGTCCACTGCCCCAGATTATTGGCAGATCCTGTGGCGTGGGATCAGTGGTCCCCAGTGGGCTGTCCCTCAGCTGGGGCAGGCTGGGAAGTCCCTGGTTCTCCAGCCGCAGTTGGGGGGAGGGCAGGGGCGGGGTCGGCAGATGTCCTTTCCTCCAGACTCTGAGCCTTTTCTATGCTTATAATCCTTGCAGTTCTAACCCCAGCATGCCAGCCCCTGCCTCCACCATGTACTAGAACTTTATTGCATAGAACTTGTATCTTTTCCTCAGGTAAAGAAATGTGGAGTGGGTGAAACGGAATGGGGATAGCTAAGGTGTGCAGAGCTTTGGTCAGGTAAGTTGGAGTGCTTCTTGCTCGCTTGCTTAGGTCAGTCAGGTGCACAGATGCTGACCACAGCTAGTGCTCCAGAGGATGGATGTCCAGTGGCTTGACTTAATCTTTGCGCACTTCTTCATTCCTGCCCCACCCCCTGCAGCCCCTGGGCAACCCAGTGGTCGCAGCGCCATCTGGTGCTTTGTGGCTCAAAAAGCGAATCCTTGCAGCAACCAGTCACACAGCAGCTGGACTCTGCCTCTGGAGGGGCAGAGGTGGCCTCGGGGACCTGAGGGGAGATGCCGCTGGGTCTAGGCGTACCCGCTGCCACGGAGGGGGCCACGGCTGCCCTCCCGGGGTGTGAAGGTGCCGAGGAGGGCAGGTGGCAGGGCAGTGGGGTTGCGGAGAGGCTGCCTTGTACACACGTGCTCCATGTTTGCCCATGTGAGACTCAGAAAGGCATCAGCGGAGTGTCCTGAGGTACAGGGACCACGCTAGATGCCCCAGTTCTCTCACAGAACACTCTCCCACCAAAGGGAAGGGCGCTGTGGTACAACATCCTCATCCAGGGTTTGGACACTTGGACCTAACCAGGCAGTGAGCCTGGGAATACATAGTTTTAAAATTACCTGTGTAATCCATCTGGTTGCTACTTTTAAAAAAACACGCATTAGGGGGAGTGTGTGCATGCACGTGCGTGCGTGTACATGTGCGTGTGTGCGTGTGTGTAAAATCTAAACTCAGGAATTAGAAGGATATAAACACATTGAGGACAGCAGCCCTGGTTTTCTTGTTTTACGTGTGCCTCTCCGGGGAAATACCTGGAGCTGAAATCAGAGATGGAGAAGCAGGAGCTGCTGCGGCGTTGTTCTGCAGGCGGTCTCAGCGGAGGGGCCTTGGTGGATCGCCTGTGTGTCTGTGACGCTCTGGCCGTGGAGACCAGAGCCTGTGCATGGGGCTGAGTTAACTGCCACACGTGTTCCTTCCTCAGTCCTCGCCTCGGCCTCTGCGCTGCCTTCTCTCAGGTCTCTCCTCTCCCTCGCTGGGAGCCCCTCCAGCCTCTTCTGCTCTGCCCCTCACCATCATGTCGGGGTTCCCGGGGGTGCATCCTCACCTTCCCTCCATCCAAGCGAGCAAATCCGGCCCGTGGCTTGGAATCCCGCAGCACAGCTGATGCTCTTTCAGCTGTATCCTGGCCTCTTCCCTCCATTCCAGACTTGCGAGTCTGAACTTGAGCTCCCTGTAGCTCTAGAGTGTACTTCTCGGCTTCCCCACATCTGCACCCTAACTCTTGGTCTCTGCCCTGCTCAGCCACTCAGCCCTGACCTGGTCATCAGCGGCGTGAGGCCCTCGGCTCCCTCATCCTCAGTTCCGGCTCCCTCCCGGGCCTGGAGCCCGCCCACCTCCTGCTCTCCTCCTCCCAGCTCCGGGTCACTGCCTCCGCTCCCCCCGGCCGAGCTGTGAAGGCCTGAGCCTGACTCTCACTCTGCTCCCTAGTGGCCTGCCTTCCTTTCGGGAGCCCTGGCCACTCACTCAGGCGAATTTGTGACCCGCTTTCCTGAGCAGGGAGGGGCGCCAGGGCCGTGTGAGCCCCACTGCAGGCCTCTGCAGTGCCTCTGTGCCCGGTGTGCACAGTCCCACGCAACGCCACCCTCCGGCCCGACAGCACCTTTGTGTCCCGCTCCCGCCCCTGTGCTGACTCCAGGCCCAGTGCTCTCCTAGGACTGCGGGTGCTGTGGGGGAGGAGGGGGTGGCATGTTTCCTGCTTGCCTTCTCTGCCAGGCAGGCCCAGTCCTTATGGCCGTTCTAATCCACCCCATTAATGGAGCCCAAGCCAGCTCAGACCTCCCTTCCGCAGCTGGCTAATCCCTGAGACGCCCTCTGCTCCCTGTCAGAGCCCAGTCAGTCCTCAGGCAGGAGTGGTGGGCAAGGGGCTTCTGACCAGGCCCTTGCACCTTGGCCCCAAGATGCAGAAAGCCAGGGCAGACCGTCTCACGGCCTCTGCTTCAGACTGAGCCAGGGACGTCGGGACAGCGCGGCAGGGTCCATCACCAAAGGCCGGAGACCGGAAGCTGCAGAAGCTGGCGTCTCCAGCCTCCACCAAGGGCAGTGTGGACTGGTGGTTCTGCACCACTCTGGGTGGCCGTGCGACCCGGGGCAAGTGCAGTCACTCCTGAGGTCTCCATTTCCCTCACGTGCAGAGCTGGAGCTGACGGGAAGCCTGTGTGTGGCAGGGCTGTTTATGACTGCCCGGGGACTGCGCTTCCTGCCCAGCCCGGCTCTGACTGCTCCTGCTGGCCACTCGGGCTCTGCCCCGTCACCTCACTCAGGGGCCTGCTGCAAGCTGTGGTCAGAAGGGAGCCGCAGAGCCCGGCAGACAGACGGAAGGCAGCTGAAGGGCAGGGACTGGAAAGACGGGGGAGCGGGGGACCACACAGAGTTAGCGGCGGCGGAGACACAGCCAGAAAGGAGACGCACGCCAGCGGCAAAGGAGTCAGAGACCGAGTCAGAGAAATGCAGAGCTGGAGAGCAGGCGTCAGAGAGCGGGTCTGGGTCAGACACAGGCGAACACCAACCAAGGGGAGGAGCGGGAGCCGGCTCGCCCTGCGGGGTCAGGAGGGGTGCCCGCCCCGCCCCG